TATCAGGAATAAATTTAAAATAACACCTTTCAAATACGTTTCTCAGTTAATATTTTATAGCACTTCATGACTTAAGCAAGGCAGCGAGAATAATTTTCCATTTAATAGTTGAGAAGACTGGGTAATTTTCCAATTGGAGGAGCTTGAAATAAAACCCAGATTCTCCAAAGCCAGCTTTAATATTTCTTCTGTAATATCATACTATAAAGATATTGGAAATAGATATGTAAAATTTCTATGAGGTTTTTCCCAATAAAGGCACAATAATTGTCATCTGAGCTATTATTAAGAACACTATTAATTTTTTTCTTTATAAATTCCTTTCTTTGAAAGAAAAATAAATGTATGAGATCAGTCACATGTTACTAAAAAGGGATATCAAAGTAGGTAAAATGTGTCAGAGAGAAAAAATGCATACTTATATCTATGTTTGATTTATGATAGCAAGAATTAGAAAAAATTAAAAAATTCTTTTATTTTGCTTTAGGAAGATAATGAAAATGGTACTCCAAGTGAAAATGAAAGAAGGCATAGTAAGATTATTAATAATAACTAAATGCAAAAGTCTATAAAATAAGAAAAGGATAAAAAAAAAAGTTAAATAGGCTTGATAAGTAACCTGTAGCTTTCTAGTAAAGATACCTACTTTAATAATTAAGAAATTAAAGTGGAAACAAATATCTTTATAACTACTGAGGATGACTTACACAGCATAAATAAAAGATGAAAGTTATGAATAAGAATAGAGGTGGAGCTCTGACCGGTTTGGCTCAGTGGATAGAGCGTTGGCCTGCGGACTGAAGGGTCCCAGGTTCGATTCCGGTCAAGGGCATGTACCTTGGTTGCAGGCACGTTCCCAGTAGGGAGGTGCAGGAGGCTGCTGATCGATGTTTCTTTCTCATCGATGTTTCTAACTCTCTATCCCTCTCCCTTCCTCTCTGTAAAAAATCAATAAAATATATATTTTTTTAAAAAAAAGAATAGAGGTGGATTCTTTTCAGAAGCCCACACAACTCTAGCAGTAACATAGTTTAACTCCTGTGTGGCCACACTCTGACCACGTATGCTGGTCCAACATACACATGACCCGTCGCAGAGAGTGAGCAACTTTAGAGCATAAGACGTCTTATTAACCTTCGTATGTGCAAAACCTAGCATGGTGCACATTGTGTATTTGCACATGAAATCAAACTCATTCCAATAGCTTGAACCAAATCAACTCAAAAGTTACATGTATTGGAAACATACATCCCCCAAACTAATTAAATGATTCAAGAGATTATCTGCCCTACCAGATAATTTATGCTACTAGTTGCTATTCCATTAGGTTATGAATATGTATACTCATACAAGTCCAACTTGTTTAATCTATAAAATGGAGCCATTTCCTCTAAGTCAAGAGTCACAAGTTAAAAAGATTTTAGTCAGGTAAATAATATCGATATGTGGAGTTGATTAGTTGCAATAAGCGTATTTCTCTCATCTTTGGTTGGGAAACAGGTACAGAGAAATATTTTTCCAAGTATAAGAATGATGACAAATGGCAACAACTCATCCTCAGCCTCAGGGTCAGGGACACACAATTAAAAAAAAAAAAGAGTTGTGGGGATTATGTTACACTTTCATGCTACTTCTATATGGACAGCTTCTACTGAACTCCACCTGATGGTGCCCATTAGGGACAGAGGATCATAACAACAAGAAATTCTGACTTCTCAAGAATAGCTGGAAATCCAGATTTTTCTTTAAATCATCTCATTTTTTTAGTGGTGGTAATTTTTAAAATTTAAAACACTATGTAGGTCAAGTAAAATTCACCTACACAGCATATTTGACATGCAAACTCCTGGTATAAGACCTCTGGTTTAACAATTTGATTACTCTATTGTTGCACATATAATTGAGATATTCCTTAAAAGTCATATAATTTAACAACTAAAATATTAAGGAGAGTTTACAGATTAAAGAAAACTAAATAATAAGGATTAAATGTGCTATTATTCCATTCTCGTAACTTCACAAATACCGAGTATTTCACACACTCCATTTATTATCAAAATGAAAATATAAAAGCCTAGAGGTGACAATAGAATAATAATAATTATAAACTTTAATTTAAATGTGGTATAACTAAGGTTAGGTCACAAGTTCAAATTGGTTCTCTATATACACAGAGGCTTGGTTGTACTTCTAAGAGATGACTAAATTAGCAAATTACAGTCAGTAGGAAGTTCTGTCTTAACTGACATTTTAAAAGAAATATTCTACTAAGAAAACTAAAATTTCAACCTCATTTTAATCACTTTAGCTATTCAGATTCTATTAATCAAATAAGAAAAAAAAGTCTCCAACACCTAGAATGATTAATGTGTTTGTATAAATGTGAGAAAAATGATCACATCTTCAAGTAACAGATTATAAGTACAAAGAAAGTTCACATGATAGCTATGCTGATGAAAATTACCTGCGGGGTGTTACAACATAACCCATGCATTAATTAACCTTTTGCCATAAATATCTAGAAACATCAGCAAAGATAGGTTTCTCTTTTTCTTTTGCTCCAGCTCCTTCAGCAATTTAAAAAGTAAAATACTGTGCAGTTACTGAAGGATACAAATAAAATACACTTAGTTTTTATCAGTTCTCCATGTTACTATATTAAAGCCACATAAGTATAGCAAGTAGGCTATTTCATCTTATGTTTTTGTTAATAAATGATGAGAGATAATGTCTGATTTCTATGTAAATCTTTACTTCCATGAATGAGATCAGTAAATTATTATGAATGTTGGCTACCATTTAATTATCTACCTTTTCACTCTGTGAGAAAATAAAGGTAGGTTCTGGTCAGGATGGTGGCATAGGGAAATATGGCACTTGGAACCGCCCACAATGACATCAAAATTACAACTAAATTACAGAACAACCATAATTCATAACTACCTGAAATCTAGCTGAACAGAAGACCTATAAATAAGTATATACAGAAGAAGCCACATCAAGATTTCTAGGAAGGACGGAGACACAGAATGGGCTGGTCTCACCCCCACGTGTGGCCATTAAAAATCAAGAGAGAAATCTTGGCCAAAAGGTGCACTCTAAGGAGCAGGGGTTCTTGGCCCCACAGCAGAATTCCCAGCTCAAGGGTCTGGTGCAGGTTTCTCCCAGACAGAAGTGCTGGCAGAGGCCATTGTTCTTTGATGAGCCCTTTCCCCACAGAGCTGGCAGGTGGGTGTCATAATCTGAATTTCCATCAACCTGGTTAACACTGTTAGTCCAGCCTTGATGATTCCTTGAGACACCGCTCCACCCAACTTGTGGGCCCACCCAAGCCATTTACAGTGGCTTTTCCATACAAATGGTCTCTCATGCCTCATGATTTGGACTTTCCTACTATCTCCCAAACAAGCAGCAACTGGTCTCTGCATGACCTATGTCTCTTGCTAAGTGATCCTGGTCCTGGCACTACTGGGAATGTGGCCTGGCTTGCAGCATGGCCTTTCCTGGGCACCTTCAAGCCCCAAACAAGTAGCAACCATCTGAAGATCACTCTACAGCTAGTGTCAGGTGGCACCAGGCAGGGAACAGGTGGTGGCTGGTCCTGCACCTCCCAGGAGGCCCCAGTGGGCCTGGTGGACAGCTTCAGACCATGCCGGACTACAATCCTACTGCCTCCATGATCAATGTTTCACAAGAACAAAACACATTCTTTATTACTTCATTTTCAAATGAATAAACACATCTATATTTGAGTGTATTTTTCAAGCATTTGGACAGTTTTCACTTGGGATCTGAAGTTGAAAAATCAGCTAATGCTAAATGTTACCATGATGTGGGAAAACAGAATTTCTAATAAACAATAGTAATATGAGCTACTGTATTTCCTCGAGTCATTAAAGGCAAGGATCAATAAGACTTGGTGAACGTGCAGATTACTGCAAGATTTCAGTGCTGCTAAATCACATGTTAAATAATAATTTCACATCTCTATGCAATTGTTTGTAGCCACATTTTTTCTCTTTGATGTAGTACTACCTCTTTTAGAGGGTTAACAGACTCTAATTGTTCAATCACAAACAATTAGAGCTGTTCCCTTCTATTAGTGAATTGTTAGTTAGTATTAATTAATTCATTATATAATTAAGCTTGCCAATGGATAAGTCAATCCTTCATTAGGTTAGGAAATATTCTTGTTTAGATAATGAGCTACATATATTGTTTTAGAATGTTAGGGTATTCTATATTATTCTAACTAAATGATGATTTGCCAAATGAATCTTTAAGGAGCTAAACTAGTGAACTCCTTCCACAAAATATTATTCAGAAAATAAAATTTTTATTGCAGTTAAGAAGTACACAATGATATGTTAAAGTAAGAAGGTGATAATTTTATGTTCATAAAGTGGGTAATAACTATCTAGAAAACTAGAGGTGCATATATTTGTCATTTTTATTAAGGGAAAACATATTTTATGAATATTTCAAACTAAGTAGCCATTTTCAATAACTTGGAACAAACAATAAATCATTCATAATTATTAATAACATTTTCTAAATGGATCTTTCTCTTGTATCTGTCAGGAAGATAGTTATTCAAGTAAAGTTAGACTATTTACTAAAACATTTGTTATTATTTTAATTTTAGGTACACCTCTACTATAATACATATACATTTAGGTAAGGTCTATCTACCTTAATTGGCAAGGCTAGCACATATCTGTCACACTGAAAAATGACAATAAATATATTTGTAATATAAGGATACACAAAGTTTCAAAAGAAATTTGGCACTTCTGCCAATGCTAATTTGCCAGTGCTCATCTAAACTAGATTTAATATAGCCATTGATTCCTAGATGATCGTGTAAAAGATGATGACACATGTGTGTATGAATAAAAATATATGACTTTTAAAGACTTAAAATGAGAACATAAATTTATAATACTTCTGAATTATTACAGGAATGTACAAGCTATCATCGGAAGATAGGATCTACATACCTGACAGGTAATGTTCTGTCTCCTTTCCTCCTATCCATCTCTCTTTGGGGAACAGGATACCAACGAAAATTCAGTTTCCAGTTAAAACCCCCATAAGTCATGTCTGACCCAGCCATATATTCAAAGGTATCATCACTAATCACATCAATGATGGGGCATACAACTGTTTTCCTGCAGAAGAAGTAGAAGCAGTTTACACATAAATAATAATTTAAGTGCTATAGTTGTTTCTTCAAACTCAATATAGTTGATGTGTTTAAATATAATTATTTTGTGACATTAATATGTTTTTATTTTATCATTTTTCCTATGGAATTATTTCCTTTTACCAGATCTTCCTTCAGCCAACTTCATACTACCATGTATAATCTAATCAGATATAGTGATGGATCTTCAAGCTGATTTTCAAATACATTCTAAGTACTAACCCAGCAGGATGGACATGGTCTATTATTCATAAAACCTCCGCCCACAGCATGATTAGTACAGCTGCTTTGACGTTATGCATCATTTTAGCTATGTCTTTTATAGAAAAGTAATTGCATACAGGGAGTGGAGAATGGATGATTGCAAATTAGATCTGGTAGTTCCAATCTCAGAGGAGTTACTGTTAGATTAAGGAGATAGTTCTATGAAAATCTTCATGGAGAAAATATCTATTATAAAAAACAAACAACAAAAATCAACAAATAGAAATAACAATAAAAATAGCAATAATGAGTATAAGTAAATGTTTCCCATGAAAGATATTAGGGTCATGACAATTTCTGAGTGAATTGTCCTACACTTAAGAGTTTATAGTAACAATCTACATCTTTTAAGATATAGAAAGATAACCAACTTCAATTTCTGGTGTTTATACCCTGACCTATCTTTTCTTAAAGTAAGAGAAAAAGCCAGATTTGGGGTTCTTGATGATGGCTTTTTAGGTAAAAAGAATTTTTTGCCATGGGAGATCAATAGGTACTCACCTTCCCATGCTCCCAGTTATATGTCTTATTATAGTATCAAACTTGTGTCATCGCCACAGTAAATGTGTACTTCTACCTAAGTTTGCCAGAGTTGAAGCTAATTCTGAAGAATAGAACTTATTCGTCATATTTGGTAGAAGGTAAACATACAAATATGCTTTTGAATAGCACACCTATATCACTCATACTTATTTTCAATTCTCTTTTATATTCTACACAATTAATTAAAGACTAGAGTTCTCTGAAATCAGTAGAATTCACCTACCTTTGGAAAAACTTCTTGGTAACACTGGTCCCTACAAAATCAATATCTTTTATTTAGTTAGTTAGTTATTAAATTTAGTAATTTAATTTGTAGGGAGATGAAATTAGATCTAATAACTTTGAACAGGACTTTATTATCTAGTTATGGCAACTTTAGAACCTACTAGTAGAACAAAACAGTAGAGTTCATTACATAGAAATATAATTTAAATATGTTGTTACATTAAAAAATAAATGATCTATGCATGACCATATTGAAACAATATTATATTAAAAACTCACTAGGCTGAATATGAAACATGTTTTAAAAGGCAGCATAATGTATGAATGTTGCCAAGAAATGCATTTAAGATGTTCCAAGTTCATTTTATTTCGCCAGCCTTACCCTCCTGTGAGTACTGTACAATACACAGAGTGGAAAAATGTTATTAGCTGTGTACTACATGCAGTTGACTAAAAGGTTCCTACTGCTTTATTCAACTGCTATGGTTCATTTTACTGGCAGAATCCATCCATCTTCGTGGCAAGTATCAAATCCTGCCATTTAAGTGATATAGCTGGACTAGCTCACACTACACAGCCCTGGTTTTGAGTGCTTAATTAAAAACTTCAATTCTAGAAAGACCTTTCTATTGCAGGTGAACTTCCTTTGCAAGCAAGGTGTTATGCAAGGCTATGTTTTTATATCCGACAGTATTCAACATTGTTGTCTTCCTAAGTGCTTGGGAATTACACTCATTTATCACCAATGTTTATGAATATCTTCAGCAAAGGCTCATGCCTCATAGCCTCATCATTAAAGAGAATTTCAGGTAACCAGGAGGTTCTTAATTTCTGCAAGTAACATTCAATCTTCCAGATTCCATCATTTTTATGTACAAAGTGGCAAGGTTGTTTAAATAATTAAGCATTCTTTATAGCTGAGCTCTGTACGTTTTATGTTTGGAATGTGGAATTTATGTGTTTTTATTTTTAAGATCCTGAAGGTGGTTTTGAACTAAACTTTGCATAAGGACACTAACCTAGTAGAAAAAAGACTAGTCTGGGAATAGGAACAACTGAATTGCTCCCATCATTTCCAATAACTGGATCAAGCTACTTAATCTCTGTGCTCCTCCCTGTTATTAGGTACAGGTAAACATATCTACATTACCCACCTCACAGTGGTTGTGAGAACACAATAAGATCCTTTGAAAATGTATTTTACAAAATTGCACTATTTCAAATTAGACTGGTTTCCTTCCCCTAAAAATGAATATTCAACATGTTTACTATTTAAATTGTTTGACTATTTCTTAATCAAATAATCATGTTCACCACTACAAAACCAAGGTCTTTATTATGTGAGAAAGATGGGGACGGCTTTTTTAAAAGCTAGGAATATACCTGAAAATAGCAACCTGGAAGAGATTTTCTGGTGGAAAGCCAACACTGTTCTGACAGGCTCCGTCATAACCCAGGCAGACAGAACCCGTGAGTCCTTACCTGTCTTCCTTTATTCTCGCCAGCAAGGGCTCCAGCCAGCCCACGGTACATTCACAGTGTGCATCGAGGAAAGTGATGACCTGCCCTTTTGAAGCAGCTGCTCCTCGAAGGCGGGCACGTATTAACCCGGAGCGCTCTTCCATTCTGATAATTTTTACTGGTACTTCTAAATTTTTCACATAATTCTCTAATGTCAGCTTGAGAAAATCTGCAACGTGCAATACGAATTTATAAGAAAGTTTTGAAACTGTTTTAAAACACCACAGAGATACTACTGCCCAAATGAAAACTCAACACACAGAGATGGTGGTGAACTCCTGTCAACATTTTTTGCAGTAGGTGACATAAAGCTATAGAGACTTCATGAGTATATTCATGTACAGTTCATTATAACCTGTCACTTGGCTGACAAGAATAAGGATAAAATAGGAAGTTAATATGTCAGACTCTAATGGAGGAACTAAGGCACACTGGCAAATGCAGGCTCCTTCATTAAGTTATTTTGCATTTACCTGAACTTAAAAAAAAGACAGGTATCCATAAAGTTATATAAATGTTCAATTATCTGAGCAGTTGAGTTGGGGGAAAAAAGGAACCCTTTTGAATGTCATTTTGTCTGATCTCCTGGGTTAGTAAGAACCAAATGGAATCATGGGAGAAACTGTAAATTAGTTCCTTGTCTCTAGAGTTGGGATTGCCTAGATACACTGATGGAAATGCACTGATGATGAGGGGTGGTTTCAGGGTTAGTATAATTACAAGGAAAATACAGATCATTTCCCAGCTGTCTTCTTGACCATAATAAAGTGTTCTAATTTAAGAAAATATATGAGAAAAACATTTATACCTCTTTCACTGGCATCATCTACCAAGATGACCTCAGAAAGTAAATAGTGTGGAGAACGATTTATAACGCTGTAAACAGTTCGAAGGAGGGTGCTCCAAGCTTCATTATGAAACACAATAACTACACTTGTGTTTGGAAGTTCATCAGGGTAGACCTTCGTCTTGCATCTGGAAAAGGGAAAAGAAGAAAGATATGTTACTAAATAATTCATTTTTTATTCTGATCGCTGGAATAAAAAATATCCGTGATAGCACAATTTTAGACTTCAAAGGTCCTTATTAAGGAAAGATTTTATGCACATCTACAATAATTTTCCTCTTTACAAATGCTGTGAGTAATCAGTTGGCATTTTGAAAATTAAATATGCATAATTACTAATATTTCATTTTAATTCCCGCAGGGAACCAAGCAGCATGATTCCACAAGTCTAAGGAAGCTAAAATAACATCCTGAGACTATCAACAGGAGACCAGGTACAACAGGGACAGCTGAATTCATTTACTGGATGTAATTTTGTTCTTTGTTGAGAAAAGGACAATTACTGTATAAAACTCAAAAAGTCATGAGAACATAGAAAAGACATACATCCACAGAATTTTGAAGCATGTAAAGCAGATTACTTTTCTATTCTAAAATCTAGTCACGCATGCTGGCCATTCTGCATGAGAATGATGTGCACCATGTCTCCTTTGTTGGAAAAGTTCAGGAGCCAGGATGTATTTTATAGATTCTCAATTAGTGCAATATAATCAAATCTGAGATCAGGACAGGGAGTAGGCAGGCCACCAGCACTTCTCAAACTTTAATCGATATAGGGATTTGTTAAAATGCACATTCCAGCCTGTCTGGCACAGCTCAGTGGTGGAGCGTTGACCTATGAACCAGGAGGTCAGGGTTTGATTCCCAGTCAGGGCACATGCCAGGTTGAAGGCTCAATCCCCAGTGTGGGGTGTGCAGAAGCAGCCGATTAATTATGCTCTATCATCATTCATGTTTCTCTCTCTCTCTCCCTCTCAGAAATAAATTTGAAAATATTAAAAAATAAAAAAAATAAAATGCACATTCTGATTCAATAGGTCTGGGAGATAGCCTGAGATTTTGCATTTTTAAGAAAACTTTCAGGCGATTCAGATGCTCCTGGTGCCTAGAGGGCACTGATTAGTCAGGGGCTAATCCATAATTGTTATTACTATTAGAACTTGATGTCTTGAGAAAAAAAATTTTAACTTTGCTTGTGCAAAGCAGCCTAGATTTCACTTTTCAGGCAATCAATCCAAAAAGGTACATTTGGATAAATAATACGCATACTGCTCTAGTAGTATCAGAAGTTTAACATGCAGGTGTTTCTTACCCCCAGGAACTTGTCAACATTCAGACATTTCTGTCATGTGATTTTAAATCATCATCATTATAGAATAAAAAAATGTCCCTGGGTATCCATAGCAAGAATTAAAGTTTATTCACCTTAGATTAATTTTTCATATAAAATATTCTGAAGAGCTGGGGAATTAAAATAATTCCACCCAACATTTCTTGCCACTCATGAACAACCTAATACATGACATAAAACAAGCATTATAATAATTAGTTTCATTCATGGGTGGATGAGAAAATCCAATAAAATGTGGGAGTTAAAGGCATATAATAAAACAAATACTGATTGTGTACCTACTGATATTTTAATCATCTTTTAAACTAGTTTAAGTTTCATCTGCTCAGTGAAGTCTCCTGCAATATAACCCGGTAAGAATGTACATATACCTGAACTAAAAGTTATATACATATAATTTTCCTTCAGCATATATTTATTCAAAAAACATTAAGCAGCCATAATATATGATTTTGTATATACAGGAAAAGAAAAATGTAGTTGGAAAAGGTAGTATGACTCATAGTCATCTCTTCCAATTCTGCCAGCAAAATTCAAGTAGTTTCTATGTGCTTCATCAACTAACTTGTAACCCCAGGCAGCTCAGCACTATGTGAACTTAGAAAGCCATCCTGGTAAGTCAGAAAGGTTCTCTCTATGATTTTACTCAACTCTCAATTCTTCAGCTTCATCACACCCCATCTCTTTCAGCATGTTAAGGAAAAAGGCTGGTAAGAATCATCATCATCATCATCATTATAGACATCATTACCATCAATAAAGAAGTAAAACTAGAAAAACAGGCTGAAAGCAATCTAACAGTCAATGACAACTGGCTTTAACCCAAGGATAATAGGTTATAAGGCTACAAAGTATCATTTGGAATAAAGTGATGAATTTTAAATCAAATTTTTGTATGTCATACTAGATGCCAACAAAGAAAATATGAATGACATATTAATATAGATAAATCATTTAAAAGGTCAAAATAAAAGCAGACACTTGGATCTACTTAAACTATTTCTATCATGCTCTATTTTTGTGGTTTAAAAAAAGCACTCACAAATGTTAATTTTGTATTCATAATATGTGACAAAGTTATATTGACCTAATTTACTATTAATGCAGCTATTACATATACTTACAGAACCTTTACACTATCATTATTTAGTGTAGCATAAACATAAATGTGGCTATTATTTTTCTATTAATTATTCCTCTTCTTCCCATGTGAAAAGTTATTTATCAAAGAAAACTTTGTGTAATAATAAAAAATTATAGAATAATTCTTAAGCTATACACATCAATCATTTTCTATGTCAGTTTACCTAATTACCTCAAGTGCAATGATATATGCATCAGCAAGAGCTAGGATACTCATTGTTTCTGAGAGCTTTGTGTTACACTGAACTGGTATTATTAACTGTATTTTATCAAAGCTATTCTTTCACCTATGGTAAGGTACACCATGATTTTAGGTACGACTAAAAAAAGAAAAAAAAAAGTTTTCAAATAAACTGTGACATAATGTTTGTTATCACTAGAATCTACCTAACACTTACATAAAGCTTATGAACACTGATTTTTAAATATATATGTATATATTATTGATTTCAGAGAGAGGAAGAGAGAGGGAGAGAGGGATAGAAACATCAATGATAAGAGAGAATCATTGATCAGCTGCTTCCTGCATGCCCCCTACTGGGGATTAAGCCTGCAAGCTGGACATGTGCTCTGACCGGGAAGCAAACTGTGACCTCCTGGTTCATAGGTTGATGCTCAACCACTGAGCAACACCAGCTGGGCTGGACATAGATTTCTATGAATATTGTCATGCTTGCTTATGAATCAGTAGCAACAGTTATCTATGTTTCTGCTTCTATTTTGTTTGTTGAATTATTTTGCTCATTAGATTCCACATGTGAGTAAGATCATATGGTATTTGTCTTTCTCTGACTGGCTTATTTCACTTAACATAATGTTCTCTTGGTACATTCATGATGTCTTAAAAGGTAAGATTTCCTTCTCTTTTATGGTCAAGTAATATTCCATTGTGTAAATGTAGCACAGCTTTTTTAGCCATTCATCTACTGGTGGGCACTTTGGCTGTTTCCAAACCTTGTCTATTGTAAATAATGCTTCAACGAACAATGGAGATGCATATATTCTTTCAAATTAGTGTTTTGGTTTCTTTAGATAGATTCCCAGTAGTGGGATCACTAAGTTAAAAGGTGGTTCCATTTTTAGTTTTTGGAGGAAAATCCTTAGACTTTTTTACAGTGGCTGTACCAGTCTGCATTCCCACCCGAAAGAAGACCTACAGATGGCCAATAGACATATGAAAAGACACTTAACGTCACTGTCATTAATCATCTGTCATCTATTCTAAGGACTTTCTCTTTGCTTTAGGTTGTATTGCTTAATATATGAGAGACATCATTAGCACTTATCTCAGTAACAAAATATGAATCAGCTTCATGTTTTTTTGTGTATCTTCCTTGGTATTGTAAAGTGTTTTCAATCTTTAAAGTGAGAAGGAATTAAATGGGAATCTTGAGAAAATGCAGATTGTGATTCAGTAGGTCTGGGATGGGCCCAAGATTCTGTATTTCTAATAAGATCTCTGGTGATGTCCCCTCTGCTGATCCCTGATAGACATGATAAGAAGCACAGTTATATAAATCAGTCAGCTGTTGACTAGCAAGAAAATACAGACTTGTTCCAACAGTAAGTATTTGCTTCATCATATGAATTTTAATTCTTGCCATAATCTCCTTGCCTTTCTTTTCAGACAATAACTTCCCCCGATCAGAATCTTATTGTCATCTATCTGAAGAAATGTCAGATGACAAATTCTACACATGGAGTATAATCAGCACACAAAACTTCATTGAAGCATGACTATATGAACAGCCATGACCATGTTCACACAACTTAAAATATAGTGGCTACATAACAACTACCAGCTGGTAGACAATGATTGCAACTAACCATCAACTATAAAACTCATCCTGATTTCAAATATATAAACTATACAAAATGCATATCTTAGGACAGGTGAATACAGTAATTTTTGTTTAGTACAGAAAAAGTACTTAAAGTGTTGTTTAGTACTTTGCTTTGTTTTTTTTAAATACATTTAGTTTCTAAGCAGGTAGAGTTTGAAACTCTAATACTCTCTTCTCCCTGACAGATGGCAAACAACTTCTTTGTAATATTACAAGAATAACTTCAACACTATCCACCTCAGCTTTTATATATTTTACATGATAAGAATAAAGTAGATAATCTGGAATGAGTGTTAGATATTACTTGGTCTACAAAGTAAAGCTCAGAATCTCCAAATGTTGGAATTAGAAAGGATTTTCAAAGCTGACTAATTCTAATCTTGATTGTGCAGAATACAAGTCTCAAGTCAGAGAACTAGTTCAATACTCTGGGTCAACAAGTAATAATAATGATAATAATGAAGTAATGTATTATTTAATACTAGTAACAGTAATGTTTTCTTCCCCAGAGTATATGCTATATCAAACATTTTAAATATAACTGGTGTCTGAAAAATTGGAAAAACACACACATTTAAATCATACAAAATATGACTTAATCTTACATGATAAAATATATATATATATATAATTTTTTTAATGAAATAGAGAAATAATCCTGGCCAGCATGGCTCCGTGGTTGAGTATCAACCTATGAGCCAGGAGGTGATGGTTCAAATCCTGGCCAGGGCTTTTGCCTGGGTTGCAGGCTCGATCCCCAGTTGGGGCATGCAGGAGGCAGCCAATCAAT